CCCGAAACATTAACACTTTTTCTTCACAGATGCTGCAAGACCTGGAGCTTTTCCAGCAACTTTGTCTTTGCTCACGATTTACAGCATCCGCAGTTCTTTCGGTTTTTATCAGTACGGAGACCTCTGTTATTTGTAATTTATGTAAATGATTTGGATGGAAGTGGAGGTTGTCGGATTAGTAAGTTTGCAGACGACACAAAAATTGGAGTTGTGTACAATGAGGAAGGTTGCCGTATGGATATAATAGGATATAGATTAGCTGTAAAGTTGAGCAGAGAAATGGCCGCTGGAGTTAATCTAGATAAGTGTGAAATGGTGTATTTTGGAAGGTCAAATGCAGGACGAAAATATTTAATAAGTGACAAGACCTTTAGGACCATTGATATACAGGAAGATCCTGGGGTGCAAGTCCATAGCTCCTTAAAAATGGCAACATAAGGGCAAGGTATTAAAGGCAGTGTACAGCATGCTTGCCTTCAGTCAGTACAAAATTGGCAAGTCATGTTGCAGCCCATATAAAACTTAAGTCATGCTTGGGAGTACTGTGTGCAGTTTCAGTCACCATACTATAGGAAGGATGTGGAGGCTTTGGAGAGGGTGCAAAAGAGGTTTACCAGGATGTTACCTGAATTAAAGTATTTAGCTACAAAAGGAGAGCTTGGACAAATTTGGTTTGTTAGAGCAACAGGAAGCTAAAGGATGACCTGATAGAAGTATATAAAATTGAGACATGGAAAGGGTGGATAGTTGGAGTCTTCCTTCCCCCCCACCCAAAGGCAGGAAATTTCAAATACTAAAGGGCACAGGTTTAAAATGAGAGGGTGAAAAGTCAAAAGGAGATGTGCAAGGCAAGAATTTTTTTGACACAAAGGGTGGTAGGTGCCTGGAACGTGCTGCCAAGCAAAGTGGTAGAAACAGATATGATGGCCACACTTAAGAAGCAGACATGAACAGGCAGGGAATACAGGGATAGGGACCATGTGCAAACAGATGGTATCAGTTTAGGAGGGTATCATGGTCAACATGAACATGGTGGGCCAAAGGGCCTGTTCCTGTGCTGTTCTGCAGACCTGGCCCCTAACAATTCCCCTGAACCCGCTGATGTTCTTGTCCTGGTCTCCGACTGCCCCTCAGATTTGAACAGTCAGCCAGCCACTCCTACTTTTCTGATTGGAATGCAAGTAAAGCTAGATTTAAACATTGGTCAAGCCTCAGCAATAGTCCCACCCACCCTTGCTTACCTTTCCAACCACAGTGAAAATTCAAATCTGCCACCAATACAGTCATCAAAATATTTTTGCATTTCTCCCCCCAACCCCATCTTTCCCAAAACACTTAGTGATTTATGTTTCTGTAAATTCCTATAACCATCCAATGAATCCTATCTTCCTTGTAGAAATCATGAGCTAGATGTTACCAGCCCTCTGGAGACTAGTGAGGATTTGTAATGCAGTGCCAGAGATCAGGTAGTCAAGAGTTTGAAAAGGTAATGGGGTAATACTTAAGAAAATAAACCCCCCAGGAGTTGAAGGAAAGGACAGGAGAATGAGAGAAACAGAATCTCTTTGGGCAAGCCTCCAGACTCATTAGGATGTACAGGCATCTTCTGTGCAGTACTAGATTAATGGATATGATTCTGGGACAGGAGGGATCTATACCGCTAGGATGGACTCCACCTGAACAGGGCCGAGTCCAGTGCTCTGGCGAAAAGCGTAAATAGGGTGGTTAATACGACTTTAAACTAGTAAGTGGGGGGGGGGGGGGTG